ACTTTCAATTAGTATAAAGCTTCTAAAAGGGGTAGGAACTCACCTTGCAAGATTTAGGAGAAATCCTGAAATTTGAGAACAAACGGAAGGCAAAAAAAATGGTGGTCTTGATGCAAATGGCAGCCCCCTTCCTCTCTTCCTCTCTTCCTCTCTTCTTCCTCCCTTTTTCTCTTCTTCTTTCTTTTCTCTTCTTCTTTCTTTTCTCCCTGCCAACGACCAGCCCCCTCCCCCCTTTTTGACTTTTTTCCTTTTTTTTCTTGGGAAGAAGCATCCCCACTAAAAGGTGGGTGGGTCTTGGGGTAGGACCAGGAGGCAACACCCCCTCCCCCCCTTCCACTTTTCTCCTCTTTTTTTAAAAATAAAAATAAAATAAAATAAAGTTTTTAATTAAAAGGGTTTATAAATTCCTAATATAAACACGTAAACATCACTTAACGAGATGGAAACCCAAGATGTGAACGGTACAAAGATATGAGAAAAATCTCAAGTGTTACAATCCTTCCCACCTTGGATTAAATTTTGTCCTCGAAATTTTAGTTCATGAGAAAAGGTGAGGGTAACGCCTCTTTAAATCCTCTTCCGCTTCCCATGTCACGTTTGACCCTCAATGATGCTTCCATTGTACCTTAACCATGACAATCTCTTTATGTCTCAACACCTTGATCTTTCTTTCCAAGATGGCTTCCGGTTCTTCAACACAGCGGTTGTTCTCATCCATATGAATATCCGTAAGTGGTATTACGCTTTCGTCTTCCGCCAAACACTTACGAAGGTAACACATATGAAATGTGTTATGGATTTCGGCCATGTTAGGTGGTAGTTCTAATTTGTAAGCTTGAAGTCTCACCCTAGCCAAGACTTTAAACGGTCTAAGGAAACGGGGGCTTAGCATCCCACGCTTTCCAAAACGAATAATACCCTTCCAAGGGGACACTTTTAGCATTACACGGTCGCCCACTTGGAATTCCATAGGTCGGCTCATCTTGTCTACATAACTCTTTTGTCGATCTTGTGCTGCCTTTAAGCGTTCTCGAATACACTTCACCTTGTCGGTCGTTTCTTGCACGATTTCGGGGTCGACGAATTGTTTCTCACCCGCTTCAAGCCAACACACAGGAGTCCTACATTTCCGTCCATACAATGCTTCGAAAGGTGCCATCCCGATGCTAGAATGATAACTATTGTTGTAAGCGAACTCCATAAGGGGTAGGTGAGAATCCCAATTCTTGCCAAAGTTGATAACACACGATCTAAGCATGTCTTCGAGGGTTTGGATGGTCCGCTCGCTCTGACCATCGGTTTGAGAGTGGTAAGCTGTACTCAACTTCACTCTCGTGCCCAACTCTTTCTGCAAGCCGCCCCAGAAATGGGAGGTGAATCGGCTATCCCGATCTGACACTATTGACAATGGTATACCATGCCTCGAAACTACTTCATCGATGTATAACCTGGCAAGTTTGTCCATTGGCAACGATTCTCGCATTGCTAAGAAGTGAGCACTCTTTGTCAGCCGATCAACCACTACCCATATCGTGTCATGACCTCTTAGAGTCTTCGGCAGTTTGGTCACGAAGTCCATGGTAATATGTTCCCACTTCCATTCGGGAATCTCCAAGGATTGAAGACTACCATAAGGTCGTTGGTGCTCCACCTTCACCTGCAAACAAGTCACGCACCTCTCCACGTAACGAGCCACATCCAACTTCATAACAGGCCAACAAAATGTCAATTTCAAGTCCCGATACATCTTGGTGCTACCCGGATGGATGAAGTATTTGGACTTGTGCGCGTCTTCTAGTAACAGTAAGCGATTGCCTCCAATCTTGGGTACCCAGATACGCCCTTGAAATAACTTCAAGCCACGACCATCCTTCGTCAGAAGTAAGCGTTGTTTCATCATATTTCACTCTTGAGGTTCTCTTCCAAAAGTGCTTCACGTTGTGCCACTCTGATTCGATCGATCAGACTGGACACTATATCGATTCTGGTGAGTACAACTTTCGTCTCACTACCGTACTCCTTTCGGCTCAAAGCATATACCACTACATTTGCCTTACCCGGATGGTACAACAATTCACAATCGTAGTCTTTGAGCAGTTCGAGCCAACGACGTTGCCTCATGTTCAATTATTTCTGATCGAAAATGTACTTCAAACTCTTGTGATCAGTGAAAAGCATGCACTTGGTACCATGAAGGTAATGTCGCCAAAGCTTTAAGGCGAACACCACTGCTGCTAACTCCAAATCGTGGGTGGGATAGTTCTTCTCGTGATCTTTGAGTTGCCTTGACGCATAGGCAATCGCCTTTCCCCTTTGCATCAAAACGCAACCCAACCCCATTTTCGAAGCGTCGCTAAAAACTACAAAGTCTTCAGACCCTTTCGGCAAGGAGAGGATCGGGGCTTCACATAATTTCTTTTGGAGAGTTCTGAAAGCATTTTCTTGTTTTTCAGTCTAGATAAACTTCACATTCTTCCTTGTCAATGCCGTTAAGAAAGAAGCGACCTTGGAGAAATCTTGGATGAACCTCCTATAATAACCCGCCAGACCCAAGAAACTTTGGATTTCTGATGGACTCTTTGGCGGTTCCCAATTCATCATCGCCTCAATCTTGGATGGGTCTACCTTCACACCGTCCTGAGTGACAATGTGACCCAAGAATTGAACCTCCTTCAACCAAAAGTCGCACTTGGAGAATTTTGCATACAACTTCTCCTTTCTTAACACTTCGAGAACTTCTTGAAGTTGTTGTTCATGATCCAACTCGTCCTTGGAATAAACAAGTATGTCATCAATGAACACTATTACTGACTTGTCAAGGAATGGTCGGCACACTCTGTTCATTAAGTCCATGAATACCGCCAGCACATTCGTCAAACCGAAAGGCATGACCAAGAATTCATAGTGTCCGTATCGCGTCCTAAAAGCTGTCTTTGCCACATCATCTTCTTTCACTTTAACTTGGTGATATCCCGAACGAAGATCGATTTTTGAGAAGCAGCTTTCTCCCTGAAGTTGGTCGAAAAGGTCGTCAATCCTAGGAAGAGGATATTTGTTCTTCACGGTTGCCTTGTTGAGTCCTCGGTAATCAATACATATCCTCATGGTGCCGTCTTTCTTCTTTACGAATAATACTGGAGCTCCCCATGGTGATGAACTCGGTCTAACAAATCCTTTCTCTAGAAGGTCTTGTAATTGAGACGCCATCTCTTGCATCTCGGATGGCGCCAAACGGTAAGGTGCTTTAGCAATTGGAGCGGTTCCCGTAATAAGATCGATTCTGAACTCCACTTGCCTATCGGGTGATAAACCGGGCAAGTCTTCGGGAAATACGTCAAGAAAATGGCTAACTACTTTCACATCTTCAAATTTTTTTTTCTAGATTGGTATCCAACACATATGCGATGAACGAGGGGCATCCCTTAGCTAGACACTTGCGTGCCTTTGCCATGGATAGGAGTACTACATTTTCCTTTCTACCCTCTCCGTAAACTAGCACTGCATCCCCGTCCGGTAAAGGAATTCGTTTCAACTTCTTAGAACATAAGATTTCCGATTGGTTCTTTATCATCCAATCCATTCCAATTATGACATCAAATCCGCCGATAGTCATGGGTATGAGGTCTACCCAAAATTCTTTTCCCTCGATCCCCAATACACAACTCCTGACAACTTCACTCACCAGGACTCGACTACCATTTGCTATTCAACGATCAGGGCGTCTTCTAGTGCACTAAGGGGCATATGCAAATGTTGATAAAATGTAGTGGACACAAAAGAACACGAAGCACCTGAATCGAAAAGCACATGAGCAGGTACGGAGTTAACAAGGAATGTACCCGACACCACATCCGTCGATGCCTTAGCTTCTTCCGCCGTCATCTGAAAAGCTCGGCCGGCTGCTTTCGAGGTACTTTCTTTTCTTCCCTAGTCCCCTCCCGCTTTCAATTTCTGGCAATCATTCTTTAAGTGACCCGGCTCTCCGCATCCAAAACAAATGGGTCCCTTGATCGAACACTCATTTCATGAGTGGCCTGGTTTCCCACACTTAAAGCATCTTATGGGAGTAGGGTTGGTGGTACACGGGCCGTGGTGTTTACTACGGCATTTGGGACACCACTTGGCCTCTTGTCTAGGATAGGTCCCACGATTGTTGTTGTTGAAATGGTTGGGCCTCTTGGAAGGCGCATATTGACCTTCCCACCTTCTCTTTTCACCACTTGACACTCTCTCTTCTCTTTCTTTAACATAAACCGATTCCATGACTTTCGCGTCTTCGATTGCCTCCCTAAGGGTGGAGGCTCTGGAGTTCCTGAACATCACCATCATGTCTGTAGGTAATCCTTTGAGGTAAGCTTTCATCCTTTCTTTCTCCGTAGGAGCCACATGCCCCACTAAGTTCAGCTTTTCCATGAAAAGTCATGTGTAGTCTCTTATCGACAAATTTTCTTTCTTAAGGGTTCGGAACTCTTCTTCAATGCGGTCCATTTCTTGCTCGTTGCAATATTCCTCCAACACCTTCTTCTTGAACATGGTCCAACTCATCTTGGCCAGATCCGTAACCCCCATGGTTGAAATGACAATGTTCCATCAGGTAAGAGCTGCACCCCTTAGCATTTGAGAGCCAAATCTCACTTTTTGTCCCTTATCACAGTCACAAGCTCGGAAGGCTTGCTCGATCTCTCGAAGCCAATTCATGCATGTCACGGGGTCATCTGTCCCCACAAACTCTGGTGGCTTACAACATAAAAACGTCTTGTAGGAGCAAACCCTTCCCACTTGTCTTGCATCAATCATCGCCAATTCCTGGGTTGGGATTCCATTTCCGGTACCCCCAGATCCTACAATAGTTACATTCTCGGCAACTGCTTCATGCTTACGGTTGTTAGCATCACTATCCTCCAACAACCTCATAAAGAACTCTTGTTCCTGGGCCATAGCTATGTTCATGGCGTTCATCATTGTGCCCATCATTCTTGACTCCGGGGTTTCCTCTTCCATTACGGGATTAGAGGTGGCAAGGTCAACTTGAGGAAAGTGGTCAACTCCACCGCCCAAGGTGTTTTGCCAAGGGTGAACCCTTGTATAACACCCTCATTTTCATTCAAGAGAAATGTTACGTAATCTGAATCTTTTTCCTTCATAAATACACCCAAAAAGATGGCTAATTTAAAACCATCTGAACTATTACAGCGGAAGTCTTTGAAATTATCAAGCTTAACTCAAGTTCTAACCCACTTACTTTTGGGGTTGAGTTACAAAAGATCATTACAGTGCATTTTAGACAAAAGACTAAAACAAGATGACAATAGGCAACTCCCTATGCCTGTCCCTTGCCCGTATCCGTCCTCGAACTACCTGGGCCTGAGATGCATACTATAGTCAGCTTATAAAGCTCAGTGAGTTCATGGTTTTCGTGCATAAATCATTGTACGTCATACATTTCAACTTGTRAATTTTAAACCAACTTGTAACATGCAATTTCTGTAAAACATGCAATACTGAACACATGAGATCTCATGATTTTAACTGCCGGGTACGAGTCATTTAGTCACTGGCWTTCCCTGAGTCGTCAGCCCTGCTCTTGTCTAGACACTCATYACTGGGTCGTGCCACTTGTCACGTGACTTTTAGTCACYGRCATTCCCTGAGTTGTCCGACTGTATCTGCCTAGACGCTCATKRYTGGGTCGTGCCACTTGTCATGTGACTTTTTGGTCAAATGCYCACCCACTAAAACTGATCAAACTTTGATATAGAAGACATGCTAGAGTTATTCGAAAACTGGTTAAACACATAGCATRCAACTGATCATAAAAACGTCATACATGTAAAACATATCATGTATGTAACTTGAAACATYATGCATTTGTACCATCATCATATAAATCATATAATGCTTGCAAATAAGTTTATACGTAGGTATGCATCCCAGTGTAAATCTCATGAAGACTCACCTGATAACGTCGATTGCTTACTTAATGGTGCTGACTGGTACCCTACAATTTATAATAGCGAATAGTACATAAATGATAGATTCCTCTAAGGACTATAAAAGTCAACTCACGGTCAACTATCTGCTTGCTATTCTATAAGTCTTATCAAGCCATCGGGGCTAAG